TCTCGAAAGAAGGAGCGGGAAGCACCCGAGTCAAGGGTGAAGGTGTGGGTGTCCGGAGACGACGCAGACTCACCGGCACCTGGGGCGGCAGACGCACTGGCACCTAGAGCAGCAGCCTCACCAGCACCTAGAGCAGCAGCCTCAATGCCCGGGTCGGGCGGAAAACACCGGTAACAGTCACCCTCATCACTAATAGTCACAGCATACATGGCAGCAAGAATAGCATCATAATCAAGATCAAAGATCGCAACACCCGCCCTAGACAGCTCGCCCCAGCGAGGGATCTCAGTAGCGTCGGGGAACTGGTGACGCCAAGCGTCAATTAGACGGCCGAAACAGCGCTGGGTGGAGTGCGCTCCCCCACACTGCTCACCCGTGCGGTCGCCGGTACGGAGAACGTAGGTACAGGGGCCAGCACCCCCGCCCCGCTGACGAGCAGTGTACCACTCACGAAGCTGCTGGGGGGAAGGGGTCTCACGAGGACGCTGCTGCTGCTGCTGCTGGCGCTGACCACCACCGGAGCCGACCCTCTGCGTAGAGCCGCCCCGACCCGCTCCACCCCCGCCACCGTCACCTCCACCACCGCCTCCTCCTCCGCCGCCACTGCCTCCACTAGTGCCCCCACTCCCACCACCACTCCCACCGCCACCCCCACTCCCTCCGCCTCCTCCACCGCCACCTCCACCGCCTCGGCCAGCTCCCCCAACGCCCTTGTTCCCCTTGCCCTTGCCTGAGCGGCGTCTCCCGCTAGGGGTAGACGCCGCACCGACCGACTCAACACCCACGAGATCGGCCGCAGCAGCAGAGGCAACAGAGGGCAAGAGGGGGGAGGGGGAGCACCCCTCAAAGACAGGGGTACGAGGGTCACCACGAGAGGCTCCTACAGCAACTATGCTCTGCTCTGCTGCTAGGAGACGCTCCTCGAGGAGGTCAACGGTGAGAGTGGTGGGGCAAACAGAGAGAAAGTGGTCCCTGACCGAGCGAAGGGTGTCAGGGAGCCGGGTGACTATGTAGTAGAGGGTGATGTACATGGGGGGGGGGTTCTTGGCGCAGAACTCAGCAGGAAGCGCAGCGCGGTAGCGAATGTCACTAGTGCGAAGGTGCGTAATGAGGTCAGCGACAGTGGGAAAAGCGGCGAGGTCAGGGAAGAGGTACGGCAGGATGAGGCGGCTAAGCGCAGCAGTGGCAGGGGAAGAGTAGCGTGCAACTACAGCGTCGTACAAGGTCTTAGCACTCTTGTACTGGCTAAAGTGCGCACGCTCAGTGGTCGGCAAGTGGCGGCGCACAGCAAGGCGGGCAGCAGCATCGCGCGTGGCCCACTGTGAGCGAACAGTGGCGTCAGCATCAGCAGCAGGGGGAGGAGAGGCACCAGAAGTGAGGTCAAAGAGGGAGAGACCGCCCGCCCTATCGCACTGTAGGAAAAGCTGCAGATCATCTACCCAGACCTTTAAGTCAACAGCCCGACCCTCAGCGTCAAAGGTGAGAACACTGGGGGTGGCCATGACAGCAGTAGACGAGCAGTGAGAGCAGCAGGCTAAGGGCAGTGCAGTGGCAGAGGCGCTGCTCTTACCGGGCAGGCGAGAAGGGCCGAGGCTCGCCGGGAGTGACAGGGCCGCGACTGCAGGGACGGCGGCAACTCGGCTGCAGCGGCTAAGGCAACGGCGGCAACAGCGGCTCGGCGGCAACGGCGGCTCGGCGGCTCAGCGGCTCGGTGGCTCGGCGGCTCAACGTCTCGGATGCTCGGCGGCTCAGTGGCAACGGCAGCAACGGCGGCTCGGCGGCTCGGCAGTTGGCAGCTCGGCGGCTCGGCGGTCTTGGGGCCGTGAGGGGTGGCGTCAGGGCCGTAGCGGGGCGGCGGCGAGGCTGCAGTAGGGCGGTGTCGGGGCCGCAGTAGGGCGGCGTCGGGGCCGCTAAGGGCGGCAGAGCCGCTGAAGGGCGGCGGCGTAGCCGCAAGGGGGGGGCGACGGGGCCGCGAAGGGGCGGCGACGGGGCCGCAAGGGGCGGCGACGGGGCCGCAAGGGGCGGAGACGGGGCCGCGAGGGGTCGCGACGGGGCCGCGAAGGGGCGGCGACGGGGCCGCAAGGGGCGGCGACGGGGCCGCGGAAGGGCGGCGACACGGCTGCAAGGGGCGGCGACGGGGCCGCGAAGGGCGACGGGGCCGTTAAGGGCGGCGACGGGGCCGCGAAGGTGGGGCGACGGGGCCGCTAAGGGCGGCGAAGGGGTCGCATAAGGCAGCGTGAGGAGGGCGCGACGGGCCGCGTAAGGGCAGCACACCGAGCGCGCCTCGGGCAGGGGCGACGCGCGCCCCGGGCAGAAAAAAAAAGATCGATTTGGGTGGGCCCTAGGAAAAGTTCCCACTAGGGAACCTGCTCTGAAACCATGTGAAAATTAGAACGAGGAAATGAATGGTGTGACTAGCAAGAATGGGAGTACAAATATGCAACCCTAGAATTGTGTACCCCCTAAGGCTAAACCCACTGTAGCCTACAAAGCTACAACATGTATAATGTTCGACATCTGTTGTAATCTATCAATTAATCAATTTCTTTCTTTCGTTACTAGATACCAAGCCTGTTGCTGTATACCAAGCATACCGTTCTCCGATTACCAGTATCCGGTTTCCATCAAGTCCGTATCACAAGCCTCGCTTTTCACTCTCTGATCGTGCAACTCTGCGCCTAGGCTCTCCCACAATCGCCTATTCTCCACACTCCAGACCCTCGTGACTGCTTCGTCATCATTCATGATGTGCAATTCAAGGCTGTGAAAGGCCAGGACGTCTTGACGTAAACACCTGCAATGGTGAAAACGATCAACACTAACCCATGAAGTCCCATGACCAATCCTGAGCAATTATCGTCAGTCAATGGACACGTCATGAATCTAGGCACGCAACCGTGGAAAGGTCGTGTGCGTGCATGACGGGCTGCTGTCAAATCCACCTGACAGCTGTGAACGTCCATGAACGTTCGTAAACCTGGGCACTACAATCCACAAACCGCCACGGGTCAACATTCACGTGGGGGCAGAATCTTACAAGCGCGCCAAAATTATATCTTCCCTCGCGTACAGGACGAAACCACCGATGTAGCAGTATTGCATGCCTTGTTTATTTCGAAACAACACGCTCCACAGCCACACAATTTGTGAGTACATGCGAAATATTTCCACCGTGCCGAAACAATGACATTCCACCTGCACGACAGTTCTATCGATGCCGAAAGGGAGGTTACAATCGCAAAAGCGCATGTAGGTCGATCCATTTGGACGAGGTTCGGTCGCTCTACCTGGCGTGCGAGGCTGGTCGATGGGATTGAGAATAGTTCGCGCGCCGGCGTGTCGCGCAATTTTTCCTTTCCGATTCCTTTGGGCAGTGGGTTTGACACCGCCTTGCTTTGCGCTCGCGTCCGATTACCGAAACTGCGATATTTCCACACCCTTTATCTTCACGCCCTGGGGTACCTACCCTAAACAAAACTGATTTTGAAGGTATTTCGCAACGTTCGAAGAATGTTTGGGGATAATGTCACACGATCCCAATGCGAGCTTAACGCAGGAACAATCTGGCACTGGAATTTTCCCCGCTCATTCGGATTGCAAAGTTTGATTCTCGAAAGGATGGTACCTAATGGTTATTTCCTGATAGACCCGCAATGTCAGGGCGAGCGTCTCATCAAACCTCAAACCATATAGGGTGTCTGGGAAAATTGAAAGTTCAGGGTGTGGAAATATCGGAGAACATGTGTATCTCCTGTACGCTCCGTCATTTCCTCACAGGATTGAGACAAATTCGAAAAGAGGTCGGGTCGCTAGTAGAAAATATCTGGCGATCATCGAAAGATGTTGGACATTTTGGATGAAGCATTCCCACTGGGGGTTTGGGAGCAATTTGGTTGGTGTCAATCGGGCAGGAAACAATTTGGTCAGGAAGGCACGCACCCAATCACGTGAGTGCAGACTGGGAGCAATTTGGTGTCAACTTGTCAAGCGGGCCCAGAAACAATTTCGGTGAAGGGGCAAGCACGCACGCACCCAATCACGTGGGTGAGTGTGGGCAAACCATTTGATTCTGTACTGTGCGCACTGTGCGCACAAAACGTCGTTTCTTCTTTTTCATTTTATATTTTTCGTTGAACCTCGCCTCGCCAGTGAATGGCAGGTCGTATCCGCGCACATCCCTCAAGGATGACCCGTCCTTTTGCAATCTTCTAATTTCGGCTGTTGCGCTTTCGCCGCCCAAAGCCCCGCGGCAGTCCCAAACGCCCACTCGTCGTAATTTCGCTGTCCCACTGACAGTTGGGGACTGTAATTTCGCTGTCCCAAAGCATTGCCCTGCGTCACCCTAGTCTCCTACGCGCCTGGCATAACACAACACGCACAGCTGCCTCGTACTGTACTGGTTTCGGCTCGAAATGCATAACCACGCACACGCACACACACATCCCCTCAGCAACTCAAGTCAGCGATGCCGTTTACCTATCGCTAAAGAGAACCAGCCACCTGCGACCATTTTCCGGCATTTGCTGAAACCCTTCCCCATGGCCTCTCGGACTGCGATTGTTCACAATCCAGTACTCTCACCGTCCAATTCCTCTCCTGATTTAGTCTGGCCACTCGCCAACTCCCCCGCATTCCGCACTCGCCGCTGCGCGCGAACTCAATGCCCGGGCGAAACCCGCTCGCTAGACCGCGAGCGCGCTTTAAACACCACAACCGCCCTCGCGCTAAGCCCAAGGACTCCGAATCGCGAGAGGAAATGTTCTCCTAGGGCTTCCTCCCAATCCGCGGAAGGATCATGGGCGGAAGCCGTCGCGGCCGGAAGGCGGAAAGACGGCGAGCGCTCGGCGGCGGCGCTGTCCCCTTTGGGATCCAGTTCCGCCTCCGAAGGTCTTTCCCCGTGCGGTGGCGGCGGAAGCCCGGCGTGGCGCCCCGCCGCGCTGGCGGCGGTGCGCAGCCCGCTTGCGCCCGTCGTGCGCCACAAGGCGACCGCGTCGGTCGACATGGAGGAGTTATGGGCGGAGGAAGCTTCCGACGAAACCAGCGGAGTAACGCGGAAGCCACGGAGAAATCGTAACATCATTCGACGCGCGCGAAACGTGTCCTCCGACTTCCCCTCGCTCCGCAGCGCGCAGGGAGATGAGAAGCCGGGGAACGTGGACAGCGGACGCGCCTCGATCGGCGTGCCCAAGCCGCCGTGGGAGGGTGAAGCTCCGGTCTCCGCGGAATCGCTGCAGGAGAGCGACGTCTCCGCCGCGAGGCCGTCGATTATCAGCCGACGCCCCGCCGCGACGGCGATCCGCAAGTTGCGTATTTTCTCCAACCGCGGCGGCCGGGATGCTGCTGCCCTCGCCACCGCGTTCGCTGCGCCGGCGGGATCTTCCGCAACTTGCGCGGCGACGTCCCCTCGAGCGGGAAACGGCGTGGCGGCCGAAGAAGTCGAGGGCATTTCTGCGCAGCTGAGCCGCGGCACGCGCGACAGATTGACGGCGAAATCCGCCGGCGGCGGCGGGACGATTCTAAAGTCTTCTCCACAGCGGCGGCGGGGACGGGCTGGAGGTGCGGTGAGGCGGCGGATCCGCCGAAGCTTCAGCGAGGAGCTTGCGGCGACGGTTGTTCCGTTCGTGCGACGAGAGGACGACGAGCGGCAAGAGTCGCAACGGCCGTCGCGAGAGTCGTCGCAGCCGTCGCACATCATGCGAAGTCTTAGCAGCGGTGACGGTCGGCAAGAAGCGGCAGGGCAGGAAAACGCCGCCGCGCTCTGTGCGCCGCAGCGTTCGGACGACGCTAGCGAAACGACGAAACGCAGTGGCGAAACGGGTGGCGAAGAATCTCGGTGGCGAAACGGAGGGCAGAGGGCCGCGTCGTATCACGAGGAGCTGGCTTCGGATTTGGTGGATTATTTTGGCGAAATCGCGCAGTCCTGGAGCATTGAGAGCTCCAACTGCGAGTGCGACTCGGTAGGACATCCGCGTGAAGCGGAAGCCGGTGAAATCGCGCAGTCCTGGGGCATAGAGGGCTCCAGCCGCGAGTGCGACTCGGCTGTAGGAGCGGAAGCTGTTGGTGCTGTGGTGAATCGCCGCTTGGGGAGGCGGAACAGGGAATGGGGGGGGATGGACGAGCAGAAGGAACGGAAGGGGTGGGACGAGCGGAGGGAATGGAGGAGGGAGGGCTAGTAGAGGGGATGGATGTGGGAGGACGACTGGAGGGGATGGAAGAAGAGAGACGGGTGGTGTCATGGCGCATGTGTAGTTCAAGTAGCGTCCGTGAGGGTTGTGGAAGGAGGTTAATGGACGCAGATGCTGAGGAGGAAGTGGAGGAAAGGGAGAAAGGTAGGAGCAGGAGGGGCTGTGGCAGCAGAGCTACCAGCCTTGTCTGCTTGTTACCCAGCAGGGAAGGATCCAATTAAAAAATGAGAGGAGCAGGCAAAGGTGAGGGCGAGGAGTGGGACAAAGCAGGGATGAGGGGTGGGATTTAGGAAGGGTTAGGAGTGGAAAGGGGGGGAGTTGAGTGGTGGGCATTCAGATGCTGCTCAAGAATCACATCACACGACTGTGATTCGAAATTTGTAGTACCACATTTTAAAGCTCAAGTACACATTTGTCAGCGGGGTTCAGGGTTTTACAGTGTGCCTCATAGTTTTTGGGGCAACTTTTCAAGTTCCTAAGGAACTTGAACTCCTCCTTTCAAATGTATACCGGAGCTTTAATCGTCACCACACATCTCCAAAAGCAATATGCAGCATGGTCTTTTGTCATTTGGCATCCAATAATCAAGTGTGAATGAAGTGCATATATGTGAAAGTCGAGATTGATCCTGATACAACACAACCTGTACACATTCAACGCCACGCAACAAGTGTAGATTGTTTGTCCTGCCACAAGCCATAGCATAGCAGGTTTCATCACAGCACAAGCAAGCATGTCTGCTTGACTGCTACCCTGGAATTTGGCTCCTGAATAGCAAAACCCCACAATGCATGCCTCAAGAGCATGTCTTTTCTGCACAGGCATCCTGGCACGGCAGATTGCCTTCAACAAGGGAGCTTCGGAGTGGGAGAGGTATGGAGAGACAGACGGTGACCAAGAGCAGACCTTGCAGGCCTTGCGGCATGCCTCGTGCATGTACACGGGGTTCTTCTCACACTCGCCTGCACCCTCTAGCATAGCAACAGAATCCCAATGCCAAGCTTCCTCTAGCGTCTATGTGCAGACCTTGCAGGCCTTGCGGCATGCCTCGTTCATGTACACAGGGTTCTTCTCACACTCGCCCGCCTCCGCCCAGTATTGACAGCTGTGGCGTGCACGCAGGGGCACGCGCGCACACACATACACATACACATACACATACACATACACATGCACATACACATGCACATGCACATGCACACGCACACACACGCACACGTACACACACATGCACACGCACTCACACGCATACGTACACACATACACACGCACAGACACACACACACAGACACACACACGCACACGCGCACGCGCACACGCACACGCGCGCGCGCGCACACACACGCACACACACAAGGGAAGGGGAGTGGTGGAGTGAGTGACATGAGCGCACTTGAGGTAGTGGCACCCCCAATACTATAATCAGACATGCAGGGGAAAGGGATAGGTGGAGATCACATGGGCGCATGCAGGAGGGCAGTTGAATAGGAAGATGAGATACTTCCCATGCAACTAAAAAGGAAAAAGAAAAAACAGAATGAAGGCAGGAGGATGCAAGATTCTTCTCATCTTTGTGCAGCCTTGCCACTCCCTATGCATTGCTGTCCATGCCAACCCCCCACTCACCATTATCACCAGCATCAACATCAGCATCACCATCAACATTAACATCACCATCAACATCACCAATCCCCAGCGGCGTATCAAAGGGTGCCACATGAATCCCCTTGACTCCCCTACCCTAAACCCAACCATGCATTCCACCCACCCATGCACCCCACCCACCCATGCACCCCACCCATGCCATGGAACACTCCGTGGCGCCTTTGCACTCGCCTTCATTGGTGCACTCCTCCGCACCACTGAACATCCCCACACCACACACCACCCCCTTATTATTCCACGGATTGACTTTCGAGTTGACTCAACAGCCCCTCTACTTACTATGCATTGCTGTCCGTGCACGCGCCGTCACCCCCACCAGAAGCAGCACCATCGGCATCAGCGCCAGCATCAGCAGCGGTGAGCGGCGTATCAAAGTCTGCCACGTGGATCCACTTGGGCGCAGACCACTTGACGCCATGCACCACGGGGCATGCGTAGTGCAGGCTGGCGGGGTCAGGCGTGCCGTCAGGGTGGAGGTTGAAGAAGAGGAGCGCGTCTCCCTTCTCTGGCTTCACTGGTGGGGTGGGGAGGGGGAGGAGAGAGAGTGGAGATGGAGGAAAAAGGGAGAAAAGAGGGAGCAAGGGAGAGGGCGACCGAGAGAGTCACTTGCATGCACTCCCGGCCTGCCCTACAGAACAGCTCACGGTCGCACCACCTGCATTGTCCTCAGCCAGAACCAAATATGCTACTCCCCATCACCCCCACCTCCCCCACAACCCACCCCGACTACTGACCAGCAAGAAAGCCCTTGGCACAATCCGACCAAGTCTCATCCTTGGGTGAGTCGTCCTTGACCTTGGGAAACATGGTCTCCCCTCCCCTCCTAACGTCACGGTACATGAGCACCATGGCATAGCGGTGGCTCTGCTGCATCATGCGTGCTCACACACACTAACCACCACTCACCAGCCAGGAAGCCCTTGGCACAGTCACACCAAGTCTCATCCTTGGGCGAGTCATCCTTGACTTTAGGAAAGACAGTCTCGCCCCCCAGAGTGGCGTTGTTGAGGTACATGAGCACCGTGGCGTAGCGGTGGCCACCAGCACTGACGACCTGCTACTGGTGCTATGTTGTCCCCCCATCACCCACCGCCCCCAATACTCACCAGCCAGAAAGCCCTTGGCGCAGTCGGACCACGTCTCGTCTTTCGGGCTCTCATCCTTGACTTTCGGAAAGACAGTCTCGCCCCCCAGAGTGACGTTGTTGAGGTACATGAGCACCGTGGCGTAGCGGTGGCCGCCCCTCTGCGTGTTCACAGGGTCATGGAAATAGTCCACATGGGGCTCGTACTTCTGGCCCTGCGTGTAGCGCAGCACCTGAGGGAGGAGAGGAAGGAGAATTGGAGGAGAGCGGGAGCGCAGCAGGGAGGAGAAGGCAGGATGAAGGGGGGCGTCGTGAGAGGGGTTCGTAGAAACAGTCGACATGTGGCTCGTACGTCTGCCCCTTGGTGTATCGCAGTACCTGGGAAAGGTGAGGGGAGAAAAGGGGGGAGAGGGAGGAAGAGGTGAAGGGAACAGAAGCTGTGCCGGGGTCGTGGGAATAGTCCACAAGTGTGGCTCGTACTTCTGGCCTTTTGAGTAGCGTAGGACCTGCGAAAGGGGCGAGCAGGGTGGAAAACGGAGATGGGGAGAAGGAGAAAGAGAAGGAGGTGAGGGAGACAGGGGTCGTGGAAATAGTCCACGTGTGGCTCGTTATTCAGCCCTTGGGTGGAGCGCAGGACCTGAAGGAGGAGAGGGAGGGATGCAGGAAGGACAGTGGGAAGGAGAAGACAGAATAAATGAGGAGCATAGGGGAATTAGTCCACGTGCGGATTGAACTTGTGACCTTTGGTGTATGGCAGGACCTGAGGGAGGAGATTACGGTCAACTAGTAGTGAGTGAGACGCTCAAACACTTTCCAGCAGCGGCACTGCTACGTCCAGCGGGCAGGCCATACAATTCCCTTCGTTTCAGCCCGGAACGAGACACACTGGCCTGGCGGAGCCCTATGACTAGTCAGACACAGTGGGCTCACCCGTGGTCTGTAACGAAACACACTGGGCTCATCTGCGGCTGCATGTGAGTCAGTCCAGACTCACATGCAGCCTTTAGCATGTCACATCGGGTCACCTGCAGCTTGTAACGTGTCACGTCGGCTCACCTGTACGCTGTAATGAGTCACAGTGGGTTTACATATACCCTATATCGAGTCAAACCAAATTTACCTTAGCGTATAACGAGACACTGGGCTCACCTGCAGCCAATAACGAGTATAAGGAGTCAACATGGGGCTGACGCTCACCTGCAGTACCCCCTGGTTGTGCAGGCACAGAAAGGTCCACTCGACGTGCACAGGTGCCTATCACGAGTATTAAGGGTGACAAGTGCCTATAACGAGTATTAAGGGTGACAGATGCCTCACCTGCAGCGCCTCCTGGTTCTGCAGCGGCAGGAAGGTCCACTCGGAGATGCGCTGCTCCACGGCCTTCATAACAGCGTCCTCGCCCTTGTTGAGGAACGCGCCTGAGCTCGTGCGGATCTCGCTCACAAAGCTGCTGCCGTCATCGTTGTTCACCACGCCCGAGCTGAGAGGTTGGAGGGGAGAAGGGGAGAGAGGAGGGGGAGGAAAGAGGGGGAGGGGGAGGAAAGAGGGGGAGGGGGAGGAAAGAAGGGGAGGGGGAGGAAAGAAGGGGAGGGGGAGGAAAGAAGGGGAGGGTGAGGAGGGAGGAACACGTGTGACTCGCTTGCTATCTCGCTCACGAAGATTTTGCCGTCGTCGCTGTTCACCATGCCGGAGCTGACAAGGGAGTGGGGGAGGGGAGGACGAACGGATCCTGTAGGTCTGTTTTGTTTGGTTTTTGCTTGTTTGTTTAGATTCCCCGTGTGTGTGTGTGTGTGTGTGTGTGTGTGTGTGTGTGTGTGTGTGTGTGTGCGTGTGTGTGTGTGTCTGAGTCTATGTCTGTATCTGTGTCTGTGTGTGTGTCTGTGTGTGTGTCTGTGTGTGTCTGTGTGTGTGTCTGCGTCTGATATTGTTTCTACCACTAATCTTCGCGTCCATTCCTTTCCTTTCCCTTCCAGCATTCCTCACTCTCCCCATCTGCCAACTCCCCACCACGCGACCCCACCACATCTTCCGCCCTCCATTCACCACGCGACCCCACCGCATACCCCCCACTCTGCCCCCACGCACCGTTCGAGGCGTGGTGTTGCGCGTGCGATGATGTGATCGCACTCCGCGTCGCTGAGAAATTGCTTGTAGAGGAACGCGCGCGGCGCCCACGGCGACAGGAGCACCACGCGGCTCAGATCCACTCCCGCCACGCTACTATTGCTCGCAGTGGCGG